ATCCTTCTGAGTACCCCATGGTCAGCCAACTCTAAAAGTTTTCTCAGTCTTGAACTACCTGTTCTGACTTTCCTCTGTTAGGGCATGGTCAGGGTGTTGCCCTACCAACTAAAAGATGTTCCCTACCTGCACATTTTTCTTTGTAGTTTCCAAAACCACAATCTTCCTTGGGCCTTTGAGTTGTCTTCTCTCAATTTCTCCATCTCTCCCATCCCCAACTAGAGCTTTCCCATTGGTTGTTGGGATGACCTCTGCTTTCAGCTGGGACTAGAATAACCCGTAGGACCAGTTTTGTCGCATTCAAGTGCTTCATTAGCTCAGCTTAGTGGCGCCAAGGGCAAGAGAGTTGTGCTGGAATCAGAGCAACCTGGCAGGTGGCCCTCATCACCATCAGCTACTTTCCTCTTCCTAAACACATGAAAAGGGACTGCATAAAGTTTGTAGAAAAATTAAAAGATAAAAATATAAACTTTATTTTTCAACATAATCCCCATCAAATTCAAGATACTTTTGCAAGTGATAATACCAGTCATTTAGTCCATCCTTGAAGAACTGAGGGTCCTGGGAATTTAACCATGTAAATGTAGGATCTTTGAACACAATCAACTGAAGAAAAATGGGAGCCCTTTAAAGATTTTGTAAGATTAGGAAACAAAAACAAGTCAGAAAGAGCCAAATCAGGACTGCAAGGTGGATGACTAATGATTTCCCATGGAAACTGTCAAAAAATTGCCCTTGCTTGATGAGCGGAATGAGCAGGAGCATTGTCATGGTGGATACAGACTCTGGTGAAGCTGTCCTGGGCACTTTTATGCAACGGCTTTGGCCACCTTTCTCAAAACACTCTCATAATAACCAGATATCACCACTCTTTGTCTCTCTAGAAAGACAACAAACAAAATTCCTTGAGCATCCCAAAAAACCATTGCCATGATGTTTGCTTTTGACTGGTCTGCTTTTGCTTTGATGGAACCACTTCCCCTTCTTGGTAGCCACTGCTTTGACTGTGCTTTTCCTCAGGATCGTACTGGTGAAGCTGTGTTTCACCTCATGTTACAGTTCTTCAAAGAAATGCTTCAGGATTTTGATCCCCAAATTTCTTTTCTTTTCTTATTTTTTTTAGTGGAGTCTCACTCTGTTGCCCAGGCTGTAGTGCAGTAGCATGCTCACGGCCACTGCAGCCTCAACCTGTTGGGCTCAGGTGATCCTTCTGCCTCAGCCTTCAAAGTAGCTGGAACTACAGGCATGCACCACCACACCTGGTTATTTTTTTGATTTATTGTAGAGAGGAGGTCTTGCCAAGTTGCCCAGGCTGGTCTCTAACCCCTGGGATCAGGCAGTCCACTTACCTCTGTCTCCTAAAGTGCTGGGATTACAGACATGAACCACTGCACCTTGCCTAAAATTTCCATCAAAAGGTCTGTTCTTGTCTGCAGCTGGTCTGGGGATGATGGTTTTGAGATCCATTTAGTGGAAGTTTTGCTCAACTTTAATTTTTCAGTCAGAATTGTGTAAGCTGAACCAACTGAGATATCTATGGTGTTAGCTATGGCTTGTGCTGTTACTCACCAATTCTCTTCAGTTAAGGTATGGACAAGATAATTTTTTTCTTCAAAAGTGGGTGTGGATCAATTTTCCGTAGCCATTTTTGGAGCCAATTCTGCTGTGGGCTTCATCCTCATTGTCTTGTCTCTTCTTAAAATGAGTTATCCATTTGTGAACTGCTGATTTCTTTAGGGCATTGTACCCACACAGTTTTTGCAAAGCATCAATGATTTCACCATTCTTTTACCCGAGTTTCTCCATCAATTTGATTGTTTGCTCTTGCTTCAATTTTAGCAGAATTCATGTTACTCTGACAGGGACTCTTTTCAAATTGATGTCTTGTCCTTTTTAGTGCTCAAACTAGATTTTGCTCATGCATGTCACAAGTTATTATGAATTTATTATGAGGCAAAATATTTTGAAATCCATGTATAATTTTTTCATAATATGCATTTTCCATGAACTTTTTGAAGCTCTCTTGTACCTAGTTTGCTATGCCATTCTAGTTCCAGAGCTGCCTCGGCTCAGCAGAGCTGTCTGGGTCTGCACTATGGTTCAATTCTTCCCTCTGGCCACTTCTGCTTTTCCCACTCCCTTCCATGGATGTTGATCCCCAGATCACTTTTTTTTTCCAAACCACGAGCCCAGAAATAGACCAGTTGTATGTGTATACATGTTTAATTAAAGACATGAATTTATTTATGCTGGGCTCAGACAATCCTTCTGCCTGAGCTAGTTTTTTTCCAGCTGATTTTTTTGATTTAATGTAGAGTCAAGTTCTCGTCATGTTGCCAGGCTGGTCTCAAAACCCCGGGGATCAGGCAGTTCTCTTGCCTCTGCTTCCCAAAGTGCTGGGATTACAGGCATGAGCCACCATGCCCAGCCCCCAGATCATTCTGAACTCCAGCTCCAAATGAGTTTTCTCAGAAACTCAACCTATGACAGCCAAGCTTGAGGAAGTCAGGCAGTTGACATTTACTGGAGTGTCTGGAGCCACTGCAAGTGGAAACCCTTCTCAGCTGACATGTAGAGACAACCTGCTAGAAGAAGCGTCCTTATACTAAGAGCAGTAAATCACCTCTTGTTGACTTTAGCCCCCAGTGCCCCCTCCTGCGAACAACCCTGAGGAAATGGCTGTCTGCTCTGTACCCCCAGTTGTCCCTGTTATACAGGATCATTTTTCTTTGTAGTTTCCAAAACCACATTCCCATTCACACTAGGGAAAGCCTAGGTTTGTAAAAGGGGTCCTGGAGTGAAGGCAGTCCATGGGTCTGACTTACTAAGTGCATCCACTTGTCTAGTCCTCCAAGTCCCATCCCCATGTTGTATAGAATCATCAGAGAAATGCCTTCATCGAGGGGACGCAGGATCATCCATCAAACACTCTCCATGTGTTTGCCTGACCCCCTTTTTACAGACTCACTATATACTCTGTTCTCACTTGAATTCTATCTGGGAAGTGTCTCATTGCAGATGAATCTGTTTTATTGTTGGTGTTCAGATTACTTAAATTATAAGATTAATTATAATTCCTTTGGATGTCTCAAACATTTCAGAGTTGAATTCCATTGCAGTTACCTGCAGAGCCTGGTGGTGTTTACTCTGGTTCTTGTCTCCGGGGTCTGTGTCCTGTTTTGACCCAAATTCGTAACTTGCATAGTGTAAGCTGCTGCGAATGTTTTACATAGTCAGCATTGTTCCAAAAAAAGAAGTGCACCCTAAGTGAGGCTAGGCTGGTCATATGGGCCTCTTGATGGCCATACCTAAATCATATTTGGGGCTGCAGATTTTAGAGGATATAATCCAGTTTGATGTTCTCTCCTTTACCTTCTTAGCTCCTTCCAGGCACCAGGCACCACTCAGATCCTGGGCCTGTGTCTTCATTGAGGAAAATTCTTCCTTTGCTTAAAATCTAATGCTTTTCAGGATCATGACCTTGGGCAAAACCTAGAAGGTGTAAAAGGCTACACATGGGCCCAGCTCTGCCTCTAGCTCACCCTGTGGCCTCAGCAAGCTTCTGCCTTCTCTGTAATGAGAGTGTTGAGGGAGGTTTAGATTCTAGCTCTGACATTTCTGGGTTCTCTGTCAAGGATGAGGGGAGGACTTTTGGCCCTAGATGTGGCAAGGGTATTTGTAGAGCTGAGAAAGAAGCAAGGAGAGCCCAAGGGTCAGCCAGTACAATGGACAACTATAAGATCTGACAATTAAGTCAGCAAACTCATCCTAGAGAAAGTGCTACATACTTCATTGCTGACTATCACTATGGTCACCTTTGAGGTACTCCCCTTGGGAAGCTATGTACCAGTGTCTAATCCACCCTTTTTCTGGAAAGGCCATCAGAGCTGTCGTAGTATTACCCTTGATGTCCTGAATATCATCAAAATGTCTTCCTTTCAACATTTCCTTCTCTTTAGGTAAAGAAAAAAGTCACTAGGAGCAAGATCAGCTGAGTAGGGAGGGTGCTCCAATATAGTTATTTGTTTACTGGCTAAAAGCTTCCTTACAGACGGTTCTGTGAGAGCCAGTACATTGCAATGCAACAGCTCCTTCAGGACTATTTTTGCACACACCTTTCTCATGCCAAGACTTTCAGTTAAGATTTTCCCAACTGTTTCTTTATTGATGTTTATTTGGTCTGCTATGCTTCTCACAGCCAGCCAATGATTTTGACACACAATTCGATGAATTTTGGCATTGTTTTCATCAGTTCTTCTCATTACTGTCCATCCTGACCTTTCTTCATCAGTGATGCTTTCTCTCTCCTCAGAAAAATGTTTCATCCATTTGTGCACTGCCATTTTCTTTATGGCATTATGCCCATAAACTTGGACAAACATGTCCCTGATTACACTTCCATTCTTGCCAAATTTAACAAGAATTTTAATATTTGCTCATTGCTCTAATTCCTGCTCCAACATACTTGCAACAGCACACAAAAAAATGCAATAACAACGATAAACACCACTCAGCAAGACACCGCCACTCATTTTGACATGAACACAGCCATGAGACACTGATATATCAAGGTTATGAAACCCTGCCAAGTTGTTGGTACAGCACTGTCCATGTAAGTGCATAGTGGCAAGTTCACGAACTTAATTGTCTGTCCTTGTAGCTGGACACAAGATGGCAGAGCTGGGTGGGCCAGGGCTACTGTGATGCTTGGGTCTGTCAGTCTCCCAGCTATGAAGGCGATGAAATGAAGGTGAGAGAGGCTCCCTAAATACTTATATCATCCATAGTTGTACAAAAGTTTAAGGATTACTGAGTGCAACGTCCCATTTTACAGATGAGGAAACATGACCAGGAGGGGAAGTAACTTGCCTAAGTTTACAAAATAGAGCTGAAGCTGAAGCAGGTCTAACCAAGGACCACTGTCTCCCACATGAAAGAGACAAAAAGAGCCGGACAGGAGAAGAACAGGAGCCAAATACTCCCTCATTTCTCATGATCTATCACTTGGCTGTGGCTACATGGACAATCACAAAGCCCTTGATGTCTGGGAATTGGGAGCTGACAAGGTCCACCTGTAGCTGCCTTGGGCCACTCTTAGAGGGAGTGATGTCAAACTGGACCGAGGCCCTCTGCTGGGGCTCCAGGCTGGGCACACTGGAGAAAAAGGATGGGAGAAAGGCAGACCGTCAGTCCTCTCTTCTGCCAGTCCATGGCTCCTTGGAGTCTTTGGGTTCAAGTTCACCTTGTGGCTTGACATGCAAGCCTCATCAACATGCTTCCAGCTTCATCTTCCCTTCTACCACCCACACTCTTCCCATGTAGCCAGGCTAGTTTCTTCCCTGTGCCCTGGACTTACCTTGCACTTCCTTGCTCTGGACCTTTTTCTGCAATGCTCCTCCCACTAGGATGCTCCTCCCATTCCAGTCACACTCAAAACCCAGATCATCTTTCTCTTTTTCCAGGAGACCTTCCCCAAGGGCATCACCCTTCCTTCTTGATGCCTGAAATGCCCCTGAATTCATCATTTAGGGCTCAGGTCAAATATAAGCTCCACCAGAAATTATTCCTGGCCCCACCCTGTCCTCACTCAAGGGCTGCCTCTGATATCCGGCCTTGGAGGAGATCCATCCCTCTGTTTGCACAAATCACACCATCTTCATGTGAAGAGTCATCTGTTTCTAAGAGCCCATCTCCAGTCAGACTCCATCTGTCCATCTTAGTGTTCCCAACAATTTACATGTGATTCAAAGGACAAATCAGTATAATCAAGGACCATATGAGTAGTCAATGAATGAAAAAATGAATAAGCAACTGAATGATTGACAATGAATAAGTAAATAAATGAGCCCATGAATAACTGGAACATGTGTGAATGAATGCACCATGTGTGAGTAAATGAGGGGATACATATATGAACGAATAAGTGAAGGACTGAAAAAAATAAGAGGATAAATGAGTAAATGAATAACCAAATTAAAGAATAAATAAGTGGGTGAATCAACCAAATAGAACTAGGTTGAGTAAATGAATGAATAAGTGACAAATGAGTGAAAAATGTAAATACAGGGATGGGTGAATGAATGAAAGAGCAAATGAATGAGTGAGTGGATGAATAAGTAAATGGATTTATGAGTGAAAATATGAAACAATGATATGAGTGAATGAGTTATATGACTGAGTGAGTGGGTGAATGAATAAGCAAATGAAGGCTGATGTGTATAAGCAGTGGGCTTGTCCTGTGCACCCTGCAGAATCTCTCTTGCACACGCCACCTCTTGCAACTTCTCTCTGACCAGGACGTAAGGAAGGCAAACCCGCGCCATGCCAACCCCCCAGGCTGGTACTTACTCGATGCTGAGCTGTCCCTGGAGAAGGCCGCTGCCTTCCACCATCAGCACACAGTCCTTTACTCTCTCCAAGAGGGGGTTGACCACCGTCACTTCCACCATAACTGCCACTCCCACCACGGCGGGGCCCAGCACCTGAAGGGCGACACCAATGAGCCATCTCACTTCCCCTCATCCCCTCAGGAAACCCATGGCCATGGCTGGGTCAGAGAATGGGGCATTAATCGTATCTACTCCCTGCCTCCACATACCCTGTGACCGGGTGTCTCCATAGCACCCATCTCCCAGTGTCGACCCCCCTACTCTCATACTTCGCAGATGAAGCTGGAGCTAAAGGTACAAACCCCCCAGTCTCTGATGCCCTCCCCCAGCTCTGAAGGGGTCCTGGTAGGAGAAGAGTGGTGGATGCAGACAAACGTCACCTTAATGGTGATGTAGTCCTCCAGAGTAATGTCCTTCTCCACCAGGAGCTTCTCTCCTTTGGTGACAAGGCACATGGCAGCCAACAGGATCTTCTTGTCTTCTGTTAGGTCTTCTTTATACTTAGAGTAAGATATTGTAATTGGGATCTTCTTCTCTGGAAAGGAAAGCAGAGGTGGAAATTGGGGGCTTGATGTTCCTCTTTAATGGCACTCAGAAGGAGGAAAAGGCCATCCAACTAATAGCTACAACCTCTCTGGTCCTTACAACTATCCTGAGATGGGCATTATTTTCTTCAGCTCTCAGATACAGAAATCCACGGCTCAAAGTCACATAGGAAGTAAATCAAGAAACCAAGATGAAGTGGGATTAAAATTCAGGCCAGTAAGCTACCACAACACCAGATGATTTCTTCAACAAGCCCCGAAGATGTGTCTCAACTTGCCCTAATTATTCAAGATGAAAATCTTCAATTCATCAGCCATTCACCCCATCTCTCACTGTTTATTGAGCACCTACTATGTGCCAAGCACAAAGAAGAGGGAGACCAAAGGTCTGCCTCGAGTTTCCAGTACAGTGAGACCAATTTCCGTGCAACTTCTCTAAACCCCCATCTCTCTGTGAAGGCCCAGACCTAGTCATTCCCACAAACTGTGAGCAGTCTTCACTGATACCCTTCCCAGCTCTCTGAGCTACCATGGTCCTGGCTATCTCTGTCTCTCTCATCACCCATAAAACCCCTTACTATGTCATTTCTTCTTATGAGCATGGCTCACCACAGTATATAGCTGACCCTCAGTAATACTGGTTTTTTTTTTATGACCACCATATATTTTTTCTTTCAGGTGCAATGTATTCCTTCTGGTTTGCCCCAGGCCCTGCTATCATCCATTGTTCTACTGCCACTGTTTCCTTTATTTCTGTTTTCTTCCTGATCCTAAGGCATCTGAGTTTTTAACTCATGGAAAAGGTTTTTAAAGGGCTCGATTTGACTCACACTCTCTGTTATCACAGGGTTTTAGTATAGTGGATACTCCTGAATGCCAGTAGATTAATCCATGTGTACCTCTGATCAGTAGGTCATTAATGGAAGAAACTTTCATACAACAACAGCAATAAATATAATTATAAAACTAACTTTTACTAGGGGATTAAAGTGTGTTGGGCACTTGGAAGAACTTTCATGGACTAACTCATGTAATTCTCATGACAATTCCATGAACAAGTATAATTATTTTTATCCTCAACTTGTAATAATATTAAAAATACTGACAATCACCATCATAAGTTAAATGTTCATTATGTGATAGAAATTATATCAAATGTTTAATATATATGATATCATTTACTTCTTGTATGGTGCTAGACCATGGTTCTTCAAGTGTGGTCCCAGGAACAGTGGCATCAGTATTACTTGGGAACTTATTAGCAATTCAATTTCTCAAGCTCCAACAGTAATAACCACTATATGCCACCAAAGATATACATGAGCAGAGCTCTGGGAATCAGTTCTGACCCTGGGAGAAAGGAGAGAAGTGCCCCTGAAAATGTTCAGAGTAGAGCTTCTTGAAGTTCTTTGGGTCATGGACTTCACTAACAATCTAATAAAAGTTGAGACCCTTTCCTTAACAGGACCACCAGCTAATGAAATCTAAATGACATCTGTGAAATACTTCATCCAACAGCAGCAGAATACACATTCTTCTCAATCTTGCATGGCATATTCACCAAGATAGACCAAATTCTGTGGCATAAATAATACACGAACAAAATGAAAAGAATAGAAATCATACAAAGTATGCTCTCAGACCGCAATAAAACTAAACTAGAAATCAATAACAGAAAGGTAGTTGGAAAATCCAAAATACCTGAATATCAAACAACACACTTCTAAAAGAACACATAGGACAAAGAAGAAATCTCAAGAGAAATTTAAAAGTATTTTGAACTAAATAAAAATGAAAACACAACTTATGAAAATGTGTGGGATACAGCAAAAGCACTACTTACAGGGGAATTTGTAGCATGCAATGCATATAAAATAAGAGGTCTAAAACCAATAATCTACACTTCTGTTTTAGAAAACTAGAAGAAGGAGAGCAAATTAAACCCAATGTAAGCAGAAAGGAAATAAAAATTAGAGTAGAAATCAATGAAACTGAAAGCAGAAGATCAATAGAAAAAAATCAGCAAAACTGAAAGCTGAGAAGATCAATAAAATCAATAAGCCTTTGGCAAGGCTACCTTAGGAAAAAACAAAACAAAACTAGAGAGAAGACACAAATTGCTAGTAAGAAATCCAAGAGGGACATCACTACAGATCCTATAGGCATTAAAAGCCCAGGAAAGAAATATTCTGAACAACTCTTTGTTCACACATCTGCTAATCTACATGACATGAACCAATTCCTGAAAGACACAATCTGCCAAAACCCACACAAAAGAAACAGACAACCTGAATAGGCCTATACCTACTAAAGAAATTGAATCAATAATTAATTGCCTCTAAATCAGAAAGCACCAAGTCCAGATGGATCCACTGGTGAATTTTACCAAACTTTTAAGAAAATAATTATGCCAATTCTCTATAATCTCCTCCAAAAGAGGAAAGCAGAGTAATACTTCCTATCTCATTCTATGAGGTCAGTATTATTCTAATATCAAAGCCAGATCAATATCTCTCACAAACAAAGATATAAAAAGCCTCAACAAAATATTAGCAAATTGACTACAACAGTGTATAAACATAATCATAAATTAGACACCATGTTCAAATGGTATTCTAGGCAAGTGAGAGGCTGGTTCAACATTTGAAAATCAATTAATGTAATTCATCAAATCAACAGAAAGAAAATGCATGTTCATATAAGTAGATACAGAAAAATAAACAAAATCCGAACTCATTTGTGAGAAAAACTTTTAGCAAACTAGAAATAAAGGGAACTTTCTCAATTTGATTAAGAAATCTACAAAAAAACCTACAGCAAACATCATATTTAATAGATACTTCCCCAGCAGGGTTCAGTGGCTCAGCCTGTAATCCCATGCCTTTGGGAGGCTGAGGTGAGTGGATTGCCTGAGCCCGCGGGTTTCAGACCCGCCTGGGCAGCAAGACATCATCTCTACAATAAATCAAAAAATCAGCCGGGCATGTTAGCGCATGCCTGTAATTCCAGCTACTTGGAAGGCCGAGGCAGAAGGATCGCCAGAGCCCAGCAGGTCGAGGCTGCGGTGGCTAGGAGCAGCCACTGCACTCCAGTCTGGGCAACAGAGTGAGATTCCAACTCAAAAAAAAAAAAAAATAGATACTTCCCCATGAGATCAGGAACAAGGCAAGGGTGTCCTTGTGAAATTCCACTACTCCTTTTAAAAATTATATTGGAAGTCCCAGTAAGTGCAACATGACAAGAAAAAGAAAATAAAAGGTATAGATTGGAAAGGAAGAAATACAACAGACTTTGTCCACAGAAGTCATAATTGTCTATATAAAAATCCAAAAGAATCAATAACAAACAAACAAAAACTGGAAGTAGTAAGAGATTACAACAAGGTTGAAGGATATAAGAATAATATACAAAAGTCATTCACATTCCTATATGCCAGCCATTAACAATTGAAATTTGAAATTTAAAATACAATAGCATTTATGTAAGCATCTCCAAAATAAAATACTTAGGTATTAATCTAACAAAATAGGTACAAGATCTATATAAGGAGACTATAAAACACTGATGAAAGAAATCAAAGTACTAAATAAATGGGGAGATAGTCTATGTTCATGGATAAAAGAATCAATATTGTCAAGATGTCAGTTCTTTTTAACTTGATCTATAGATTCAATGCAATCCCAACAAAATCCCAAGAAGTTATTTTGTGGATATCTGATTCTAAAGTTTGTGTGGAAAAGGGAGAAGTGAGATGAAGAAAAGATGGTTAGTGGGTACAAAAGTACAGTTAGACAGAAGGAATAAGTTCTAGTATTCAATAGTACAGTAGGGAAATTATAGTTAACAATCACTTATTATATATTTAAAAATACCTAGAAAAAATGAAGTGCAATGTTCCCAACACAGAGAAAAGGAAAATATTTGAGGTGATAGATATTCCAATCACCCTGATTTTATCATTACATATTGAACACAGGGAACAAGATATCACCTGAATGCCCAAAATATATACAACTATGATATATCAATAAAAACACTTTTAAAAGTTATGACCAGAAAAAAAGGTTTATGTGGAGAGGCAAAGAATAGTCAACACAATAATGAAAGAGAGGAACAAAGTTGGAAGACTGGCACTATCCGAATTTAAGATTTACTATAAAGCTACAGTAATCAAGATAGTATGGCAATGATGAAAGAATAGAGAAAAACCGGCACACCTCATTTTATTGCACTTAGCTTTATTGTACCTTGCAGATACTATTATTTTTTCTTTTTTTATAAATTGAAGGTTTGCAGCAATCCTGAGTTGAGTAAGTCTCAATCATTTTCTAACAGCATGTACTTGCATCATGTTTCTGTGTCACATTTTGGTAATTCTCACAGTATTTCAAAATTTTATTACTATTTTATCTGTTGTGGTGATCTATGATTGGTGATGTTTGATGTTTCTATTGTAATTGTTTTGGGGAGTCTTAAACCACACCCTATAAGACAGTGACCATATACAGATATATGTTGTGTGAGTTATGACTGCTCCACTGACCAGCCATTTCCCCATCTCTCTCTCTCTCTCTCTCTCTCCTATTCTCTGAGACACAACAATACTGACATTAGGCCAATGAATACGCCTACAATGGCCTATAAGTGTTCAAGTGCAAAGAAGAGTCACATGTCTCTCATTTAAAATAAAATATTAGAAATGATGAAACTTAGTGAGGAAGGCATGTCAAAAACCAAGATAGGCTAGAAGCTAGGCCTCTTTTGCCAAACATTTAGCCAAGTGATAAGTGCAAAGAAAAAATTATTGAAGGAAATGAAAAGTGCTATTCCAGTGAGCACACATGAATAATAATAAGGAAGTAAAACAGGCTGGGCTTGGTGGCTCAGCCAGTAATCCCTGCACTTTGGGAGGCCAAGGAGAGTGGATTGCCTGAGTCCAAGGGTTTGAGACCAGCAGGGGCAACTTGGCGAGACCCTGTCTCTACAATAA